ATTGGTGATTTTTAAGAGGGCTGATTCAGTGCTGTGACGGGGACGGAAACCAGACTGGAATTGTTCGTAGAGATTGTTATGGGTAAGGTGGGAGTGAAGTTGAGAGGCAACAATTTTTTTCAAGAAGTTTGGAGATGAAAGGAAGGTGAAAAATTGGTCGTAGGTTATTGAAGTCGTTGGGATCTGAACCAGGTTTTTTCAAGAGAGGGGTGAAAGCTGCAGTTTTGAAGGGGACAGGGACAATTCCAGTGGACAGTGAGGAATGGATGATGGCTGAAATGAAAGGAAGCAGAGAGGGTAAGCAGGGTTTGACCAGGACTGTTGGGAGGGGATCAAGTAGGCAGGAGGAAGTTTTGGATTTGGTAATGATATCTGAGATTATTGAAGGATGGGGGAGTTCAAAAGAGGAAAGCAGTTGACAGGAAGTGGGGATGTCAGGGGAGGGGAGGGATACAGAGGAGCCCAGGTGTTGGTGGATTTTATTTACTTTTTCAATAAAAAAATGGAGCAGAGAGTTGCAGGTGTCAGAAGAATAAAAGTGTGGGGGTAGGGAGACAGAGGGTTGAGTGATTTTGTTCAGGAGAGAAAAGAGAGTCCTAGTATTTCCAGTATTGGAGCATATGAGTCCAGAGTAGTATTGTGATTTGGCTTGAGAAATGGAGTCCTTGTAATGGGAAAGTTGAGCTGTGTAGATGTCCTTGTGAACAGTGAGACCAGTTTTTCGGTAGAGTCTTTCAAGTTGCCGGGTTTTGGATTTAATGGAACGGAGAAGAGGGGTGAACCAGGGATCAGACCGAGTGAAAAGGACAGAGCGGGACTTGACAGGGGCGAGCGTATTGAGAATGTTGGTGAGGGCCGTGTTGTATTGGGAAACCAAAGCATTAGGAGAGGAGTCTATGTCCGGAGTCAGGGTGGCGATCCTTGCAGCGAGAGAGTCAATGTTGATGTCTTTGATATTACGGTAAGAGATGATGCGGGGTGATTTGGAGGTGGAGAGCCAGAGGGTGACATTAAATGAAAATAGGAAGTGGTCTGTTATAGGGAGTTCATCAGCAGTACAGTTGGCGGGCGTAAGACCAGAGCAGCAAATGAGATCCAAGGTGTGTCCTTTAATGTGTGTGGGGAAGTCTGCAAACTGATGGAAGCCAAAACTGTCAAGTGAGGAGGTGAAGTCCATGGTGAGCGGAAGGGCGGTATTGAAATCCCCTAGAATAATTATATTAGGAGATAGAGAGGAGAGATGGGTGAGGATAGCAGAAAATTCATTTAAAAAGTCACAATGAGGTTTGGGGGCACGGTATACTGTGGCAATGATCGTTGGAGTGGGTCCGGAAATTTGACAGGCGAGGCATTCAAATGAGGAGAGAGGAGGGAGAGAGATAGGAAGAACCTTCCATTTCTCGCGGTACAATATCGCGAGTCCACCTCCGCGACCCGTGCCGCGGGGTTTCGATTGGTAAACAAAACCCGGGGGAGTAGAATCATTAAGTTGAGAAAAGTCGCCAGGAGTTTGCCAGGTCTCATTCAGACAAAAAAAGTCAAGCTGACGGTCTCTGAGGATATCCTGGATAAGACAACCTTTCCTAGTGAGCGAGCAGATGTCGAGCAGTCCGAAGTTGACGCCGGCAATATCGCTGTTGCGAGGAGCATTAGCCGACCTAGCCAGGTCGGCTAACACGCTGTGGTCCGTGGATCGGCCGTTGTTTCTGCGTGGCCGGCGGGAGGATGACCAGAAGGAGGTGATGCCCTTGGATCTATTGAGGTGGAAGCCCCGACGAGACCCACGGTGGATATATTTCCGGGAGGGACGAAGAACGATGTCCGGGAAGCGGTGGAGTGCAGGTGGAAAGCGCGATCACCAAAAGTGGAGCCCGAGAAGTTCTGCCGCTGAGTACCGAAATAGTCCTTCCATAGGTCGATGGAGGAGCGACAGGATGGTCCAAATTAGTATGGCCCAGACAAAGGCCCCGATATCCCCCGTCATGAGGTACAGAGGGGTGGAGATGGCACGGGACGTCATCTGAGATCCAAAAAGGTAGGACGCTGTGACAGCGCGATTGAGAACAATCAGATGGTGGCACGGGACCTCGTCTGAGATCCGAAAGGCTAGGACGCTGTGACAGTGCGATTGAAAACAATCAGATGGTGATTGATGATCAAAAATGGATTGGCGACAGTAAAACCGTAAAAACGTTAAAAATGTGTTGCAGGTGAGCAGCGGCAGCCAGACGCGCCAGCGTTCACTCAACCCGGAAAAGATCGCAATCAGGATCTGCTTCGTGGACAGGTGTGTGCACACGCACATGGACGTAGAGAATTTACTAAGACAATGATAAACCTGGTGATGGAATCTTGGTATGTGGTTTTGCGTGTGGTTTTCATCACGGCATACTGACATGCAGTGGCGGGCCGTGCATTTCAACCTTAGGCCTTCTTTGACGTCACATACATACACAATATAGGCTGGTCAAGCAGCACAATTTCAGGAGCATTTAAAACCATCAAGTATGCATTCACAATTAAGAGCAGGAAACTAAATTTACAGATAGTCAAAAATAAAAAGATGATTTAAAAATACGAAATAAAATGCCACCCAAATTACGCTGTGTGATCTTAAAAAGGTCTGTCCAATAAATTGCGCAATGTCGCAGTTTCATATAAGACACCAACCAAACACTAACAAAACAAACTATTCTTTGAAAATAAAGGAAACAGATCATTTGCATTTTGAAAATCGGCGATACAACAGCAAATAACTGACATAACTGACTAACTAATAACTGACTAACAGCTTAGAGTGAACGAACTTTCGTGCACGAAGGTGACTACAATGCGCCATTATAAATTGCAGGTGAGCAGATTTATTTGATACATGTTTGTCATTTTATTTCGTTACCATGAATTTAATACTAACGATTGAAAATCGGCGATACAACAGCAAATAACTGACATAACTGACTAACTAATAACTGACGAACAGCTGAGATTGAACGAACTTTCGTGCACGA